ATTGATGGCACAGTTTTTTTTCAGCACCATCATGTAAACACAGCATAAGGTCTCACAAGATCCAAGAAATTTAGAGTGACATTGACAATTTGATTGATATACACTCACTGATTTGCTATAATGGTGTGACCAAAAGCCTGCAGACACCTGCTCATCCAATTTTGTCTGAAATCAAGGGTATTAATAGGAGGTTTGTACCCCCCCTTTGCTGCAGTAACCTCTTCTGGCCTCTAAAAGTTGGGACATTGAGGAAAATAAGGGTTTGATTGCATTCAGCCACAAGAGCATTAGTGAGGTCAGGTACTGATGTTGGATGATTAGTTCTGGATCACTAACACCACTCCACCTCATCCCAAAGGTAATACAAAAAAATGAATCTCCAAGGCGATTCTTCTTAAATTAAAAAGCTTTTTTCAGAACATGGCTGTTAAATATCTCAACACAATCCAGCGGGAGCCTTCATCAGGGAGAGTCACTGTGAGGGTCATCCCAAAGGTACTGAATAGTGCTTCATCACTCTAGAAAACACAGTTCCACTGCTCCACAGCCCAAAGCTGGGGAGTCTTATGCTAGTCTACGATCACAGCAGCCATGCACGCAGCTCTCACACATATTATTTTTCTCACTGTACTTCTATACGTGGTGAAATCTCGCTGTTTGACTGCAGGCTTTTCCGTGAATCATTAATGTGAGATGCGTAACAACCCCCATAAAGAGCTGAAGTAGCGTATGTTCACTGATTGGACCATTCCAGCCTCCTGCGTTCAGTGACCTAGGGGTCAGGGACGAGATGACATAATGCATAGCTAAGAATCAGAGTCACTGCTGCAGTAACAAGGTTTTGTCATCTTTAAAGCAGCAGTCACCGTCAGCAACCATATAAATAGGGACAGACGGAGTAGCCTACGCTTATATTAAAGTAAAAGTTGCCTAGCAAAAAACAACGTTGAGTAAAAAAACAGCATGTCCCAAAACTGCAGCAGAACTTCTTAATACATCCAGCATCTATCAGCAGAAAAAGTGAAGTTTGTTATGAGCTATTTTCCTTTTCTTTTATGACCTACAGTGTAAAATAAAATAATGGACTTCAAAAGTGAAACCTGCCTAATACTCTTGAATAAAAGAAAAGTATTAGTACATAAAGGCTAAGAGAAATACAAATCCTGCTGACAAAACAGGCTAGCATGAATTCTATGCTGTTTTAAGTTGGTCAAAGCTGGTTTATACTGGGCTGGGCATGGTTTCTCTGTTCACCCAGTATGGTCATGCTGGTTGACCGGCATATCTACATCCAAAAAACAACACATGCTGGTTTTGCTGGTGACTAGGTAGGCTGGTCTATGCTGTTTTTTCCAGGGAATACATCACACTTTTATGTAAGTATAACTCAAATACAAGTACCCGAGCAAATGTAACTAGTTCTGCAGTTTGTCAAGACTGTTTATGAGCATGTATTTCCCTTATAAGAAGGGAAGTGAGCTAAAATGCTTGCTAATCAAGTGGCTTTTGATACTTTCATCTGCTGAAGGTTTCATCCAGCACAGCTTAATTTGCAACAAACTCTTTAATCCAAATTTAGAAATGGAGATTCACTCTCAGAAATCATCTCACAACAAAGTCACTGCTCCAGCAGAGCCATTGGTGAAATGCACCAATTTGCTTTGAAAAGTTTCAGGCCTTTGGTTCAGTTCTCACATGTTCAGTGAGCATTGGCCTAAGTTCAACATATCCGATGCTACTTCTTGATGCTGTCAACTATTTTGTTTAAATAATGAAGTTAATTATACACTCCTTGGTCAGTTTCTGATCACAGGACTGCTGCTGAACAGACATTGGGTGGTGGACCATTCTCAACACAGCAGTGGCGCCGACATTGCCTCTGCAGGGTTGAGAGTGGTCCACCACCCAAAAATATCCAGCCAAATGCAGCTGTGAGGTCAGAAACTGGTAATAAAGTGCTAGAGGATGGTTTACATAACCTGTGCATCAACAGATGGGCTACATCTCTAACTGTACACTATCAAGGTGGAAATACAAGGAGTTATTTTTTTTTCAAAAGTCAAACATATGTGAGAAAACATACTTGAGTATAAGTAAAAGTATTATCACATAAACACTAAAGGAAATACAAATACATTGAAATCTTAAGAAACTGAGTAAATGTAACTGGTTCCACCTATAAGTCTTGGAGGACTGTTTTTGAAGCACCTCTTTTCCTTTAAAAAAGAGAAAATGTAGCTATGCTGGATGAAACCTTCAGCAGATGAAAGTATCAAAAGCTACATGTTTAGCAAGGGATACTTTCATCAGCTGAAGTTTTCATCTAGCATAGCTTAATTTGAAACAAACTCTTTTATCACAATTTGCCACATTTAGAAATGAAGATTCAGTCTCAGAAATCTTCCCATAACACAGTGAGCTTAACATCAAAAGCAGTGCTCCAGCAGAGCCGCTAGCTGTAGTGTTCTGAGCTTAAGAGCTATCTGTCTACCCTGAAAAACCATTTGATTTAAAGTACATGTCTGTGGACATATATGGATCTGCATTTATCCGAAAGCTCTGACAGTTCTTTACATTGTGAAGTAAAGATGGTAAAAATGTTTGCTTTAAAAAGTCTCAAGCCTTTGGTTCAGCTTTCAAATGTTAAGGTAGCATTCGCCTAAGTCCCACATATTTGATGCTACTTCTCAATGCATTTTAAACAACAAAGTGAGTCACGCGCTCATTGGTCAGTTTCAAGAGTGGCTCTGTGGCCAGATACTGGTGGTCAAGGTCATGGTTAACACAAAATGTGCATCAACAGATGGGCTGCATCTCTTAACTGTACACCACGAGTGGAGCTACAAGGGAGAGAATCTAATAAAGTGGCTAGTGAGTGTAATTTTGTACAGAGAGTTCAGTTTGACAAGAACATTGTTACAGCTCTTAGATATTTTAACTACTTAGCAACTAAAACTGCCTTTATTTTCCACGCCGCTACTGTTAAAACCACAATCCCTAACATTTCCTTTAAACGTCTCGAACCGTTCAATGACCAATTTGCTTTTTCTGTGTTGCTCAGAGGCTGAAAAAAAGAAGCTGTCAGACAGAGAGAGAAATCAGCCTGATCTTCACTAGCAGTGCCAATTCCCCTCCGACACACAACAGAAACCAGTAGGCTCTCCTTTTTCTCCGACTTATTAATTTCCCCACCATTAAAAATCCTCCCAAATTTGACGTGAAGCATGTCGCGTTCATTATGGCGTGCGCCGGTCCCCTCAGGATAGCGGCGAGTAATGAGACTGGAGCTAGCTGCACTAAACGCCCTTCGCATGCTAATACGCAAACAAACACACTGCTGATTGCTCTCTCTGGCTGCACGCTTCGTTCCCAGAATCTCTGACACGCCCGTATATTCCCTCAATCACTGAAATACATCTGATAGCAGGCAGGGTTCAGCGCTGCTTGTGCTACTAAACAGATTTCCATAATAAATGCTGTATATCTGGGTGGAAAGTACTTAGCAACTGGGTTTTCCCTATTCCCCAACACAGTGCGCTGAAAAAAAGCGCAGTGACTTTATTTGTGTTTGTTTTGCCAGCACAGACAGATTCCCACTCTTCAGCATTTTGTTCTCCAGATCCATGATAAATGCTCTCCAGATGCAAACAGACGTGGAAACAATGACGTTTGTTTGTCTCTGCATATAAAGCAGTGTGTGTTTGTTTCTGACCGTGAGCGAATGAGTGTGTGAAAATGTGCCTTAGTGTGTACATGAGTGTGGGGACTGGAGTCCAACGTCTTCTTGCACAACCCTGACTTTTAAAAAAATAACAGTAAAGAGCATAACCCTAACTATAAGAGAACAGGCTTGCCCTGTGCTGAACTTTATAAATTCTGAATTTTATAAATGTTGCTCTCTCACTGTACAATCAAATATTAACAATTATCATTAAAACGAAATTCATAAATATCAATATGGCCATCACTATGTTTGTACACATATCCCCACGTTTATTCATGATATATTGCCCCATCAATATTTTGACTACAGCCCTACTACCACGACCCCTATGTTAGTGTAAATGGCCAACTACCCTAATAATATGGTGGTCCTGTTCCAATGATCAATGGGGTAAAGGGGGGGGGGTGATAAATTGTGCACTATTGTGTCAGTATGGCTAAATCTACAAAGTGTATATGGTGTTTCTGACAAAATGGCTAATGAGCATGTCGTGATGTTTCTGTTATTTTGTAAACCTCCTGTACATGTTATGTGTTTGTGCATCTGCGAGAGAATATGTGCTTGAGTGTTAAAGTTTCAGAAGAGGGGTTCATATGAGCAGGAACCATATGAGTGCTTATTGACCTCTGAAGATGTATGTCATTCTGTACTTCATGGCGGTCTAAGTGGTACTCTCTATAGGAAAAAGACTCATTTTTACTGCTATCATGTCCTGTGGTGCACAAAAAAGTTGATACATTTTGTCCTGTACACAGTATCACTGAATCCTCAGAACTACGAGGTCGTTAGAGTGGTTGAAATAAGAATAATGGTACATCCATGCTATATGAAAGTAGCGCTGTACTTCAACTCCATTCTATAACAACACTAGCTACTTCATCTGTAGGTTAGTACCCCAAAAGCAACTTAACTACCACATTTGACAAAGCTTGGTGGTTTGTGTGAAGTCTTTTGGTGAAGCTACCAGTTTATGACGTCAATTCACTGCGCAGCAGTGTTGGCTTGCATATAATAATATTCATATTTTGACTACTTAACAACCTTGTCATTCAGAGCATCCAGTGATATTCAAAAGAATAATGTTCATAGGACCAAACATATTAACTTTGAAACATTTTTGTTCAGCACAGAGCATGATAGAGGTCATCTGTAAACCGTCACAGAAAAAACTGTTTAGAGCCAAAGTTCTTCAGAACTTGCAGTTGATTATATTCTTCAGAGGTGTATGTGTGTGTTGGTATTATGTGTGTGTGTGCGTGTATAGAGTAGTACTCACTGTCTGCATGCGTGTATGTGGCCAGCAGCAGCAACAGCAGTAGTCCAGCCACCCTGGGCAGACGAGTCGTCCGTGTGTGAAGAGGCAGCATGGCCCGAGGCTCCCACTCCATACACCCAACACACACTTCAGCTACCAGCTCACACTACCATCTACAGGAACCTACAGACAGAGAAAGACTTACATCAGGCAAGCAGCATCTTTATCTGTACATTTTAAAGCGATAGTTCACCAAAAATCACATACAGATCACTCTCACACACACTCAGGGCCAGAGGTATGAGAGCCCCCACCAGTGCATAGAAACACTCTCTGGGGACTCATTCCATGGACGACTCATTCAGCTACACCTAGACCCATATAAAGCATTTTATCTAATTAACACAGTGACATCATTCAGTCACAGCATTGTTGTTCAGAAGAATGAGCACAAGCATGAGTAATGTAATGAGCCTAACAGACTTAATCTGGTAACAGTGGTTAATCTGAATATTCATACATGTGATGTAATGTTTATCTTGTTAATAGTTTGGCTACAAATTCCAAATTCCACAATTTCCTCCTTGCCTCAGATGTAGTCAAGACAGGTTTGGTGTCAGAAGTGTGCTTCTTTAGTTTTTGGCTAATGTATGTATGTTATAATATATATATATATATATATATATATATATATATATATGTTATAACAGTATATCATACAGTGTCACCCACAGATCATTGAACCCGACTAAACCGAACGTCTCGCTGGCAATACATTCAGAGACGCATCAAAACATGACTGATGTGCAACTTCATGCAAGTACAATTCCAAAAAACCCGCAAAACACAATTTTCTAAGTTTTACCTTATAAACTTCACCTTTTTTTCCAAATAGTTGGAAGTTGGAGGCATTTCTGGATGCTGTTGACATATGACTTCTGCTGTGCATACTAATGTTTTAAATTGTATTTGTGGATGCAGCGATAGATGCTTTTCAATAGCAATAGGTTTTCAAAGTATTCCAGAGCCCATGATATCTGTCATAGAAACGTCTGTTTTTATTGCAGTGCTGTCTGAGGAATCGAAGGTCACTGGCAATTAGTTTGGTTTTCGGCCTTGCCCTTTACGCATGATTTCTCCAGATTCCCTGAATCTTCAACGATATTATGCACCGTAGAGGGTAAAATAACAACAATCCTTGCCAGCTCTGGCTGAAGACCATTATTTATAATGTCTTGACCCATGCTTGCTCAAAAAGAACTAGGCCTTTCCTTGATTCTCCTTATTTCCAAGCATGGTTGTATCACCTGTTTAAGATGTTTTCTGAACGTTTCACAATATTCCTAGTCTGAAATTGCCCCTCTCCCAACCTTTGGATTGTGATTTTGGCTTTGCTGGATCACATTTCAAATAAACGTAACAAGGAGACTCAGAAGTCATGTTTTTTAAGGAGTTGGAACTGCAGAAACAGGTGCTCCATTTTTTGTGTTAGCCATAAAGGTTTAAAAACTTAAAAAAGTGTGATTGACTTTGTATTAGTTCCATTATCTGTTAGCTACATATTTCTTGTAGCTCTAGTGTAAAACTAAAGAAGCAAACTTTAGACACCAAACATATCTTGAGTAATCAGCTACATTTGAGGTAAGGGTTAAATTATGTTTTATGGTTTTACGTAGAGCTATCGCTTTAAGCCTACTAAACTCATCATATTACTCATACTTATACTCATTCTTCTGCACAACAATGCCATGACTGAATGATGTCTGTGTTAATTAGATAAAGTGCTTTATGCGGGTCTAAGTGTAGCTGAATGAGTGGGCCATGGAATGAGTCCCAAGAGAGAGCTTCTAACTCCGCTGGCAGGAGCCTTCGCACCTCTGGCCCTAAGACAGCTCCATGTGTGTGTGTGTCTCCAGGGACTTGTTTGTGCTAATAGGCCATTTGGTGAGGGATGTGACCCCCGAGGGACCCTCTGTCCCTGCCTTTTAGGCACATGGCTGATGATTAAGCTGCCTCTCATACCTATTAACCACCAGCTCTAATCGCCTAAGTGCCAAACCCCCAACCTACACTGAATTAATCACACTCATACACTTGCACTGAGCAGACAGCCGCCGTCTGACACAGACAAAAACTCAGACAAAGCACTGACACACTGTTTTCCTTTTTCTTTATGATGATTAACCATAGTCTTTGCCTGAAAAGGATTTTCAATGCAGATTTAGTCCTAAGAGTCTAAGATCAAGACACTGTCCAGAAAATGGACCCAAAGAGGAAAACAACGATTTTTAATCCAGAATTAGTCCAAGTACTCTGTCATTTGGATTAAAGGAATAATGTGGCACAGATCAAATGCACATAATTTTCCCCTTAGCCCATATTTGTAGCTAACAAATACCTAAAGCTTAGGTACACAATCAAGATCATGCAAACTGCATCAACACAGTCCTTGAGAACTGTTCACTTTTATCCATACATTAATTCCAGCAATATTTTCTAAGCGCTGTATATTTCTATATTAACTCTTAAAAATCTACACTGCACAAAATGATGTCTTGGGAAGTGAAAATATCTTAAATCTACTCTGTATATGGAACATTTAATCAAGTAAGTTCATATTGCAGAAACTCAACAAAAGAAATATATATATATATATATATATATAAAAAATATATAAAATATATATAAAAAAATGAAGTATTCAGACTTAAGATTTTTATCAGGATTATGTTATGATCTATTTAAACCCAAGCCATTAATAGAGACAGTAATAAGATAAATATGTACAAAATCAGCATTTATAGGGTACTTTCTACTTACTGGGAGGTGACTGTCCCAAACCCTAAATTTCAACTTAATGCCTTGACCCATCCTTGCTCAAAAAGAACTAGGCCTTTCCTCAATGTCCTTATATCCAAGCATGACTGTATCACCTGTTTAACACAAATCATAATAAAACAACTCTTCTTCTACTTACAAACACACAAATGATATGAATTGTAAGTTCAGAATCTGCACTTCTGCAGAATTTCTCGACTTGTTTCAATGAGCTACAGGTAAAGAAATAACTAATAACATCATAAAATTACAGCATGCCTTTGTTATTGGCAGTAATAACTTCAGCATCTAAGAGTTGAAGACCTCTCTTGCCTGGATGTTCTATTTTGTTCTGATTACTGTGGGAAATCATACACCTGGAACTAGCTTACCTTAGATTAGGCCATGAGCTTCGAGACAGACACACACGCGCGCTTCAGCAAACACTGCGGCCCTGAGCACACAGCTGCTCAGAGTAAGGACATACACTCGTTCACCCTGCACACACTCCAGCCTGCCTGAGAACACACTGCAATCACAGAAGCTTGTCTGCTGTCTCTCTGCTTTGCTAAAGAAAACACAGCTTCCTGCCTTGGGTGTGTGTTGTGATTCAGCCAGCACTCCTAAATCAACCACTGTGAAGATGAAGAACAAGGAAACAAGAAATCATTCCACTTTCTTTAACCCCTTAAACTGCAGACTTGTTATTCAGCTATTAATCTTAAGACTTTAAGATTCAACTTTTCTTCTTCTCTGCAGCTAAATAGTTACATCTGATGGTAAATTTGCTTCACTCACCAGACACTTTGACTGGCTACCCAACATAAGGCATATTAAATCAGCTTAGGTTGATGCTTACCGTGCTAAAAGCATAAAAAAAGAGCACTGCATACAAGAGAAACCATTCAAACAAAAACGTGACGCAGCATAAACACTGCACACTGAGCGGGCATCGTTGCAATAAAGCTATAATTAACATAGTTATTACTCTAATTTAGACTAATAGCTACTCAAATCTGCCTTCATGGAATCATTCATGACACTGCAGTAAAAATAATGTGTCAGAATTAAGAATGAATGGAATTATCAAACAAATTAAATCATTTGAGTTTAAGTAACCCTTTGACCCAGAAGGATAAGCGGCTTAGAAAATGTGTGCGTGTGTGGGAGTAATTTGAGTTTGAAACTCTGGGATAAAAGATCAACCCTTTCAGTCCTTCATTCAGGCCTTTTTGCTTTTGCATGTCTATGTATTGCATGATCACATAAATTTTAACTGTAAATTATATGTGTAAAATATCAACACTATAATAAAGATGGTGGATGAAAAAAATATGCATAAACAAAACAACAGTGTACAGAATGCAGCAGTCAGCAGAGCAAATTGTCTGTTTTTTCTACAAATGTGTTCTGTAGTTTGATGAAGGAAAGAAATGGTCCACATGGGCAAACTAAAGCTTGTCAGATAACCCAATATCTCTAGTTTCACAGGCAAAACACTTTCTCACTTTATCACTTGCTCTGAAAACTAGAATTTTGGAAAATTAAACTGTCAAATCTTGAGGCAAAATATATTCTTCATACCAGTTTGACGAATATGAAGTATTAGTATTAGCAAACAGGTGTTTTATACTAGCAAAACCTATTTTGTAGCCTGTTTTAAACATTTTAACAGATATGTTTACATTTTTGAATGATATTTCAAACTAATATTTCATGACATATTTGTACTCTAGAAGAGCAGACCCTTTAGAAGAGCAGACCTTCTACTGCCCTAAAGCATTTGCAATGTATTCATTTAACTACAATTGTAATCTTCAACATTTTTTTTTTACATTTTTCTGTAATGTTAGTCCAGGTGGATGTAGCCCATATTTCTACATTTTTATTAAAGTCTAGGTATCAGGAGCGGCATCATCACTGCTAGATACATACATGAAAATATTGCATGTTTGCTTTGGCCCACAATGTCTATATTGGTGTCTCCCTAATTTTTACTTGATCAAATGAAAAGAAACTGCAAAAACATTCATATTTGAAAAAAAAGCAATATGTCTCCAGACTTTTGCTGGCCGCAGTGTACTAATCCAGGAACCAGCTAAGACTACAAAAGCAGAACAAAGAGTAACGAGACGTCACGGTTGTGGAGAACAACATTACACCCTCCTTATTTCCCTGTAAAGCTGTGTTTAAGCCGCACCTTGGCAGCTCCTGGTCTCGTGAGAAGTGTAAACAGAAGACTGGAGAGAGTGAGAGCAGCTGCTGAGTGGATAAAGGAGGAGAGCACAACGCTAAGAATGTGCGAGAGAGTGTGTGTGTAGAACACAGCTTCAAATCCCTGCTAATGTCTCCCGGCAGGCCGGGGATGCGAGGAGCCTCTCTGAGAGGAAAAATGAGTGAACTATTAAACGACAGCTTCATCTGTTCAGTTTTACTTTCCTTCCATCTGCCTCCACCCTCCATCCGTCCTGCTGCTGTCTTCAGATCCAACACGAAATAGCAGAGGAAGAGATGTTTCATGGGAAATCTCCACAAAACGCCCATGCTAGACCCTGTTACAGCCCTTTAAGACCAATTGTGTAATTCAAACCAGGACGAATGCCATGCCAAATGACAATATTCAGTCACTATTTATTTACAAATAGTGTAAATAAATAACCAAGGAGGTTATTTAACAATAACAAAGGAGGTTTTGATAAGACAGCAATGATATACATGGCAGAAATAAATTTTTGTTGGACTGTAGGATAATGCCTTTGTTCTGAAATGCTGAAGAAAGTGTAAACAGACCTGACCCTTTGACCTCTGACCTCAGGTGTTTTGAGATGTATTCATATGATTCACTGATTGTAATCCAAATCCACCACGCTGTATGATTTACTGAAGTGTGGCTTTCAGAGCGATGACGGCTAAAAAAGAATGCTCGGCCGCACTCCATTCATTACTGACGGATTGATGTATAATCTTACATAATCCCCAAAGTGGAAAACTGATTGCTAAACACATCAGCCTCTTCTCTGCTTCAGCTGAAAATAATTCACCATAGACAGAAACAGCTCAGACACAATTAAAGACATGCTCAGTGAATGCTAATAAAGTGTACACGTTTCATTTTTGCCCGTTAGATGCACACGTGCGATCATCACCGCCTATACATTTCATATCCTTCAAAAGCTTTTATTTTAATTATGTCAGATATTCAATTAAGTGAATGAAATCAAACTAGAGCCGAGGGCGGAGAGCAGGGAGTCCTTCTGCTTATTTAATCCTGTCAACATTATTCCTCCGCTATTGTCACTCACTCGCTTCATTTAAATCCCTCAGAATGGGGGTTAATTCCCATACCAGGAATTACCATCTTACTCGGCTTAAGGCAAATTGAATGAAACATTTACCTCAAATGAAAGCCGAGGCCGAAGATGGAGAGGGGAAAAAGCTACTACTTCAACAATTGCCTGGAAAGCTTTGCGTAACTCACAGTGTCCTAGAGTCAGTCTGGATTAGGCGTTGACCTCTGAAGGATTGGGGCAATAGTGAAACTGCCTAGTGTGAACTAACAACAGCATGGCAGAATCCAAATCTTGAGCACAATTTCACACATTGCAACAGGCTTCTCACTGTTGTTCAGTTTAATGTCTTCTACAGTGCTTTATTTGAAGATTACCCACATCTATCTATCTATCTATCTATCTATCTATCTATCTATCTATCTATCTTTGCAACACTGTGAAGAACTGATTAAATTTACAGCAGAAACACTACAGTAATCTACTGCAAACACAAAAGTAATTTTCAGCAATCTGTTAAAAATGGGCCTGTATCATGGAAACCCATATTTTCTTCTGTTTTAACAAATAAAATAGTTAAATGTAGTATGTAAACATGGTTAAAATTTCAAAACATGCCATTCACTCTCAATCCATACAGTCCATATATAGAAACTAAGCTGAAAACCATCACAATTACATTTATTTGCCTGTTCAGCCTGCAGCTGTTTAGCCCAACCCATTCACATTAAAGTTATTACGAGTGTTTCAGCCCAGACTGCTTTTTGAACAAGGTAGGATGCATGACAGGCAATCAGAACAGGCCTCAGTTACATATATCCAAAACAGTCTGTTTAATTCTAAGAGATAAAAAAAATTGCAAAAGGGTCTCGTAAAAATGACTATTTTGGTACATAAACCCACACAAACATTAAGAGGAAACCTCTAGGAACAAAGGAAATAGAAAAAATAAAAATAAATAAAAATAAATAGGAAAAAATAAAATATTTGCAAGTATACCAGGCAGTTTTAGCAGCCTGTCTCAGGATATTGTAGTGATGGGGGGAAAAGCTTCCTAGCATTCCTTGCAGTTTTGCAATTTTCCATTAATTTACTTTGTTTTTCATCTAGAGTTTGGCACAAGGGTTTTTAATGTTGTTTGTACCTCGAAGATAAGTGTGAACTGAAAGGTACATTCTGAATTTTAAATGTTTTGGGATTCCAATTATGTAGTCAGTGTAGTAACAGTAAAGTACAGTATATGTAGAGTTTTTGTCCAGCGCTCTGTTTTGTGTCTTGCCATGCTGTTTCTGAGCACGTTCTCAAAGTCAAACACGTTCCCACTGGATGAGAGCGATATCTCCTCCCTGCAGATGAAGCAGCAGGGGGGGATGAGTTTCTCGTCCTGAAGGAGATCCACTCTCCAGCAGCAGGATCCCTTTCTATCTCTCCCCTCAATACTTCCCCTGGCAGGAAGGAGACCCAGGATGTGCCAAATGAGGATAAAACCCACACTGACTACTACACCAGCTGTCTCGCTTCACTAATTGTAAATTTATATAGCAGTTACAATGTACATTAATCAACCCAAATGCAAATGTGCCCATGTTAACCAAATACGGCTGAAACAAATGATTATTTCTATAATCAACTAATCTGTTGACTATTATTCACTTAATTAAACAATTCTGCTTTTTAAGGTTCCCCTTTTTTTACTGCCACCATCATTTAAAGCTTCATATATTACAAGCAAGTTCTTCTTTTAAGGTGCAGTAAAACAACAGCAGCCATATCACCCGCTACTCTTCCTGTAATCTACTGCAATCTGTCAGAATGACCACATGGATCACATTATAGAGTGCTGTTGTAAAAGTAAATGACACAAACTACACTTTTTTGCCATAATGTATGTGGCCAATGACTAATTAAATCAACAAAACAGCTAACTGGCTAATTACATTTAAAGTCCCTGAGCTCTGATGTTATAAGTCAGAAACAATTTGAATAAACAAAATGTACTAGTTTACATACAGACTAAATTAACCTTATTAAAAACTGTAAAGCACACAGACAAAATAGAGGTAGCAAATTTGCATTTAGGAATAAGCACAGCAATATAGGCAACAACCTAGAGGCTAAGAGGACAGCCTGCTTAGCAAAAAGTAGAGAGATTTCCTGCAAGAATGTCTATTTGATGTTTAAATCCTATTTATTTCGGACTGTGACACACACACACACATGGATCTGTCTCTCCTG